CTGGCTCAAATGGCTCAAAAGGGCAGTGTCTGATTTGCGAATACTACTAGCCTAATCATTGCTTTTATGATTTTAAAGAATTTAAAGAATCAGTTGAACCGATTCACATTTTTTTAAATGAGAACTGGACTGGAAAGACGTTAAAGCAGCACTATGTAACTTTTGGCGCTCTAGCGGTTAATAAGTGGCGGTAATGCAACGCTCTTGGATGCAAGCCGCCGTTAAACCTCAAAGAAGAAGAAGGAGAAGATTGTAGCCTGGTCCAAGAGGGTCTGGCTGCTCAGTCATCTGCGCTTCCTCTGCAAGTGACGTCGCTTGCAATCGACACCTGCAGTCTTCGGTACCTGCCACGTCACTTGCAATCGACACAAATAAACCGGAAATAAGTTTCCAGTCGTTCGTTCGCGTTGCCAATAAAGACGCCGTATGATGCTGTTAAATTATTTAAAGTACTTTAGAACTATAACGAGACAGAAACTTTGACCCCCAAAAGTTATTTTTTGCTGCTTGTTTATCGTAGGATTATAATATTGTACTTTAGCATTAAAGTAGGCTACGACTATTTAACATTTATACCAGCAAAACATATCATTATCAAAGCTACAAAAGAACTATCAGGTCTAAATAGCAACACAAAATTATTTTCCAAAATTATGGATAAAAAAAATAAAAATTAGGCTGATGCAAATTTAAATTTTATTTTTTTCTTTTAAGCCTGTTACAAGGAGACAGACTATTTACAACTATTAACAATTTTTATTAAGTTAAGAACAGTTCCATAACACATAAAAACAGAAGAAGGAATGTAAAGAAGCACATTATGTATTTTCTTGTTTCAGTTCGACAGAATACTTTCAGATTCATGACATCAATTACATGTTCAAGGAACAAGTTCATGTCCTTCATCTCAGTAAAGAAAAAGCTGAAAGGTTCCAGAGCAACAATTCTGTCCTCTGAAAATTCAGCCTTCTGTAATTTGTCCAAGGCCTCATCAACATCTTCATCCTCCATACAGAGTACTTTGGGCAGCTGAACAGAACCAAGCAGCACACTTGACCGTTCCAAACACCACTTGCTGGCTTCCTTTAAATCTCCCATCAATCGATTCTGTAAAATAACACAAAGAACAAGGGAGGTACAATTGTAAAAAACAAAAAGCATTAATTCAGTATTGTTCAAAAAACAAAAAGAAACAATTTTCTTTGAAACAATCTTTGAGGTCACTCACTTAAAAAAAAAACATACATATACATGTGTATGTATATATATATATATATATATATACACACATACATACATACATAAAAAAATATATAATATTAATAAATAAATAAATATATATATATATATATATATAATGTCACTCAAATGTAATAATCTGAACTGAGAAACAGGGTAGAAGCAGGACAAAATATCAAATGTGGTGTTTTACAATATGTTTCACACTACCTGTTTTGCTAATAAAAACACCACATTTAATTGTCATTCATTTTAGTTATAAAATCAGTAACGCCACAATCACTTCCACTAAACTATACAGTTGTTTACGTGTAAGCCATATAATTAACTTACGACAGCACATATACCATTCTGTTCAGTCGTTTATCTTAGTTTAGCTGTATTTAAGATAGTGACGGAGTGGTTACATGGTTGGCTAGTTAGTAGGCTATTAAGTTAATGCAATTTTTTAAACACAAACAGTGAGCAGCGAATACGTTGACAAACATAATTTTGCATATCATACTGCATAAAACGTATAATAAACACACACAGATACATATATGCACTTACAGCAATGATTCTTGAACGACTTCAGAAGTTATTCTCAATCCAACATGGCGCAGGTACCGAAGACTGCAGGTGTCGATTGCAAGTGACGTCACTTGCAGAGGAAGCGCAGATGACTGAGCAGCCAGACCCTCTTGGACCAGGCTACAATCTTCTCCGGCTATTGGACATACCTGTCCTGAGACTGTACAGTGCTGACAATGAATCACTTCCAATTAAAACTTTACTCATTTTACCAGGCTACAATAATCCAAATATAAGTACTTATAAGTGTACCGTAGCGATTCGGAATAAGACAAAAACGCAGTTTGGAAGATGAATTCATGATGTACTCGCTCATTATATACATTTAGCAAATTTTGAACACAGAAAAAGTTACATAGTGCTGCTTTAAGTATTAAGTAACAAGTTAATGGGCTGCAGGTGACAGTAATACAACTTTTTGGATGCCAACTGCCATTAAACACCAAGAAAGAAGAAGTTTCACAAATTGTGCTAATAGAAAACATACCGCAAAAATCTGGAGGGAAAAGTTGGCTGCAGATGGTGTGGGTTAAAACAAGATAAAATCACAGCTGGGGGAAAACATGTGCTGAGGCCTGGCTGTACTTGCTCTTCTCTAACCATGTAGAGATGTGTATAAGAATCTAGAGTACACAATCCTCTAACCATAAAAACACATTATTTTCCTATTGCTGTGTACACCACTTAAGTTGACATTTGGCTTTCGTATCAGCTAAGGTCAAAACTTGCTTTTTGTCCCTCTCTAGAGATGTACTGCTAATTGGTGGATATACTAAATTAATAAAATCCCATGCAATAATGTTAGAAAATGGTTTACCATTAGTGCAATAACATAACATCAAATGAGAGGAAGAAAACATGTCATACTCTGTTTTACTGAGAGATCAAATATTTATTTACAAAATATTAGGTTTCCCAGATCTTACAGGTTGTTTATGCTAGTAAGACTCAAATTCAAGGCACTTAAAAGGGTTTTTAAATTATTTGTAGTAGATGATTAAAAAATGATTCAATGTCTTGATCAATTTTTTTCTTTGATTAAATGGTTTGTTTATAATAACAGAAATGCTTAAAAACCTATTTTTACATACAGTAAAATGTTAATGGAAGCAACAAGAGATACAGCATAATAAGACTCAGCATAATACAGACATTCGAACAGTCAAGTCATTCTGACTACATATAGACATCCAATGCCTTGACCTCTCCAAAGCAAACTGCATAAAGCTACCCAGCAGACTAATTTAAGATCAACCAACAAGAACATTCAGAGAAGTGATTTCATTGGCTGAATTGAGACATGTAAAAAGTGTTAGCATTTTTCAATAAAAACTGTAAACTGAAAATTACAGTACAGACTCTAAAACAGTCCTCCTCTGTTTTCGAAACAGGAACAAGTTATGCGTCTTGGGTTTCATTAAGCTCCCACAGTGCAAGGCCAAACTTTTGATGCCGTACCCTCAAATTCTGATGACAGTACTAACTGTATGCGGTACAGTGCAAGTGTTACACTGCATGTCAAATATAATGCAGTGATTTATGAGGACACAGAAAATATCCATCATTCCTATCTAAATTTTGCTATCTAAATGACCTTGTTCAGGTGCTCTTGTTCCATTAAAAAAAGGTTAATTCATTCTATAGGACAAAAATCTGTCTCTGTTTTGAAGTTTGGGGCATTGCCAATTTTCAGTAAAGATTTAAGACAGAAAAATTAACCCAAACATCTTACAATTTTATAATTTCCTCAATTAAATGGTGTGTTTGGGTAATGCAACAGTTGTAAGAACACATTCTTGTTTGACCTTATACAAATAACATAATTGTAGGCAAAAGCACAAAGACAGTGACCCATCAAATACAAAAGAGACACTTGAAGATCTAAAAGTATTCCATAATTACAAGTAACATCTTATGTAATCTAATATAACAGTCTTAAATATACTTCATAATTCAATAGATAGAACTTTAACCCATTACCTTCACTGGATCAATGCCAGTATATGACTATTTCAAGGGTCCCTTGATTATGAACAATATTGCAAGTACTTTTACAGTTGTGGCATTTTATCAGGCTTTAGAGAACCATAAAGACAGCTGAAGTGGCCACTAGATTGACCTTTCAGGAGGAGAGAAGTATGAAAATAGACAGCAATGTGTCTATAGACTTTTTAAAATCCTCCACTTCAAGGTTTCGAAGCTGTCATTATGGAAGCTACTCATTAAAAGGTGGTGTGATACCATGAGATATGAAGGTACATGAGCAAAATGTGCAAATAAAAGGTATGTGTGTGTAGGATGTGTGTGAATTCCTGGAGTTATGACTTGTGTTGGTGTGTGGACATGGTTGCATATATCTGTATGTGTATGTGTGAGCGTTTGTAACTGATAGAAATCTTATGGTGGTCTCACAGTGGGAGGTTTGGGTGCAGGTGCACTGGTCGGGATCACACCAGTAGCAAGGAATATGACAATCAGTACAATGATGAGGACTATCACAACAATAACCACAATCAGCTTCACGTTCTTCCACCAGTAGGCACGAGCAACCTTCTGAGAGGTGTGCTTGAAGTTCTGGGCCTAAGAAGCAGGAAAAAAGACCAGTACAATGTCAACTAGTGTGGGACTCACTATGGCTGCATACATTACCCTATCAGTTAAAAGTTTGGGGAAAGTAACATTCAGCAAGTTAAATTGATCACAACATACAGTAAAGTATAATGTTACAAAAGATTTCGAATAAATGCTGTTCTTTTGAACTTTCTATTCATTATAAATGGAAGCGCAACTATTTTTAACAATGATAAGTATCCTAATGTTTCTCGAGCACCAAATCAGTATATTAGAATGATTTCTGAAGGATCATGTGACACTGAAGACTGGAGTAATGAATGCTGAAAATTCAGCTTTGCCATTAAATAATTATTTACTTTATAAAATATACTGTATATTACAATAGAAAACATTTATTTTATCAAATAAATGCAGCTTTGGTGAACACAAGAGTTTTACAAAAACAGTGTGCTGGGATTACAGCTGTAATATGTGATTCAATGTTTTTGTACTGAAAGACACACCCCAGCTTGCAGGTCTTCAGATTTGTCCATCAGATCATCCAGTCTTTCTCCACGGGCCAGGATCCGATCTACATTCTGGGTCATAATATCCTTGACCCCATCCACTTGAGACTGCAGAGATTTAACTGGATCCACCTCCTGTGAAGACTCTCCTTCTCTTGGCTCCTGCATTGAGAGGAATTAAAAATCAAAATGGCTCCACGCATACATAGTTATGAAAATCTGGAAAGTTTGTAAAAAGTTCTGTTGTGCAAAAGCCCATAAACATAAGTTATAAAGTGCATAAAATTACTTACCCTGTTATATCCATCCAAATACCAAAGTTCAAATTTTTTTTGATATTTATTTATCTAGGGAATCCAGAGATTTGTAATACACTGGTTTTGTTGAGGTTGATCAATAAAACTAAGACTAGTTCTCAAATAAGTAATGAACGATTTTATTGACAGCAGTGGTTCTTGAGGCAAAGTTGTTGGGTATGACGAGGAGATCTAAAATATGATATAAATAATGTGTGTATGTGTGAAACACTGCATAATATACACTTATTTACATACACATAAAAAAGTGTGCATTAACATCAAAACCTCGTCTTTGTATGATTTTTACATGCATATGAATATACGGAGAGCTAAATTTAATAATTCTGATATAAGAAAATTAATGATTTATGCTATTAAAAACATTCAGTAATTACTGTTACACAGTGCTGTCCATTTCTATATTCAATAAAATAATTAATCTCAAAAAAGAACTACGATACATTCTATGAAAAACAGTGCTCAGTAATGCCTGAGATCACACCAACGATATTGACAACAGCGATGCAACAAGATAGCTTTACCACATTCACACATCGAAACACCAATAAAGTACTGTAATAATAACCATCTTTTGCATTGTTCATTTTGTCATTTGGGTACTCAGGACAGTAAATTATGTTTTTTTAGCCACATTAAACACCATTAAGTTCTCTCGCACAGCTGAAACTTCATAAACAAAAGGTGTTACCAAGAAACCAAAAGCAATGCTGTGTCACTACCTGTCCTACCCATAGACTGTATAAAAACAGGTCTTACCCTTTCTATTCAAGTCACTGGCTGGTGTCACAAGGCCTTCAAATAGCAGAAAGCTTAGGTAACATCAGATACTGACCGCCTGAAGTACATTATTGTGGCAAAATGGGGCCGTGTGGTATCTATAACTATAATATGGTGGCAACCACATAATAAAAAGTAAAAATGTATCCATCTAGTTATCCATCTTCCTTAAAGTCCCTCTAATACCAGCATCCCAATGTTTTCAAGAACAAACATCACGATTTTAAACGTCCAGTCGAACGTTATTTTAACCACAGTCTCACATAAAAAAACAGAAATGATGTCTTGTATTGTGGTACTTTTGAAATTATTAAAAAAAAAATGTTTGACTGTTGATCAACTTCATTTGAAGCAACCCAGCATGCGGATCTCACACTTATGGTTCAATTCAACTGTCAAAGGGGACGTGTGATGTGATCAGCAAATTTATAAACTGTAGTAACAACATGTCTAAATTAAGTAACCATTTAAAATTAATTAACCATTAACTAACCAACAGTCGGTTGTGCCTTGTAAACCGGTTATGCTTCACAGCTCAAGGTAAAGTCAATCCATCTGTGTAAACAAATCTGTACAAGAATGTTGCCATGCAAACTGGACGAAGCTTAAGTATAAAAGTATCATCTAAACAGCATATTTGTTTTAGAAATCCTAACCAAAGTAGCGACGTTAACCCTCAACAGGAAAGCAGAAACTAAGTAGGCTATAACTTGAAAAACGAGCTTCGCCCTGTTTTGAGTGCGCCAACCCACATCAACCGGTAAAACTAAAATGTAAAAAAATATATATCAACCTGCTCGAGCGTAAACTTTTCTACAACTAAAAAATAATATGATATACATGGACACAGATAGGAACTGGATTTACACAGCAGGTTAGTTAGTTTTAAATTCAATACGCGATGCAACAACAAGCACCTGCTGCTGACTATCGTTAATTTCGTAACTTACCGTACTATTTGGATCAGCCAACCCCATGATTTCACTGTTTGGTGTTTTAATTTACTCCACGGGGTGGGGGAAATGTTACGCTTTATCCTTTAAAGTTAAAATGTTTGTAACTGTTTCTTCGAATGACCGACAGATGTAAACCGCGTCAACACTTCCTGGTCTCTAATTCAGTCTTTTCCTCCAGCGAATGAGTTGGCTTTGGTCCACCTATGTAGCGCCACTTCCCATAACATCCTCAAGAGGGCGCTGGATTGGTGACGCATAAACACCTGTAAGGAGAGAGCGCAGAGACTCTTATCAAGCCATCAACATTTCGGCACTGCAGGTATGACAAGATTGTTCTCGGAAGGCCAGACAGGCCAGTGAGTCACTGACTTTTCTAAAAATGCTAATGTGATTTTTTTTTCAGTGTTCTTTGTCATGAAAGTTTGTTTTCAAAGTAGTGTAGTCTTAACATTATTAAGGTAAAACGATTAGACTCCTATGAACGAAACTAAACTCTTTTCTTCCACCAGTAATAATTGGCTCCACCTAAATGCCTCAAGCATTACATGTATTTATCTCGAGCACCATACCATTCCAAAATGACAACACTACACATAAAACAATACATATAAAGAATTATACAACAATACTTTGATAACTTTTATTTTTCAAAATCACATGTAGAACATACATCTAAAAGAAACCTTAAGTTGAAGTTTTACAATTTAAATAAAACATTTAAAAAAAATAGACACTGACAACAGTAACTTCATATTTACAATTACTGAAGCAGCTAAAACAAGTTATTAAAACAGGCCAATCTTCAAAGCAATCATTATTCATGCTGCACCCTGCGTTTTTTTTTTCCTTTCCTGGTACATGCTTTTGACAACTTTCAGTTTCACTCAGAAAAAAAATTCTGTGCTAGTTCCCTGTACAACTTTTTTTAACATGATCCTGACATCATCCTTCTCTTGACTATACTGTTTTGGCCACACATAGGTATTTTACATGACATGAAGAACATAAGAATCTGCATTTACATTTTGATACAAAAAGATTTTTGTATGAAAGATCTGTATCAGTTTTCAGTGGCCTTGTTTAATGATGATATCGGTCATGCAGTCAATCTTGTGCAGCTCCAAGTTCTGTTGATGGAAAGAAGAGCTTTTAGATTTACAGCAATCAAATGTTGTGATAATTCAGGAGATCACAAATACGTAAAACATGTTTCCTCATGTAAGCTACAAAACATTCAATGCATAATAATGCAAGACACATAATTATAAACAATAGACAACATGCTAATATTAAATCAACACTGAAGTTTAAACAGACCTCCATCTACATTAGTTTTTGAAATCATATATAGCAGAAAGTACCCACTTTCTCATTAGCCAAGTGCAGAAGTGCCACAAAAGCCAAAGGAACTGAGAGATTGGTAGCCATGGTGGAGGGAAGCCTGGAAAAGAGAAAAGAGAAATGTATGTACAGAACACGGAAGAAAAATGTAGATCCTTAGATAGTATTTCTTCCATGAGCAGGAACAGTGAAAAGATACATAGTGCCAAGTTTTGAAAAACTGTACCTTTGTACAAGATTCCTGACAGACTGGCTGAATGATTTTTCTCCAGGTACTTCTGTCGTGTCCTCACTGTCCACCTGCTAGAAATGGTCATTTAAGTATGTCACTTAAAAAAAATATATATAAATCAACTAGTCACAAGAAATGTGCAATAATTAAGAAAAAAGGGTAACTTCTAAACTGAACTAAAAACACACTGAAAAATAAAAATAAAAGAGCTTTACTAAGCTCAGAAAGGTACAATTACAAACCTTTGCTGGTTTTTCAGGACTCTCTGTTAGGAGACCCCACAAAGTGGTCTTCAGCTTCTTCATGTCCATCTTCTTGGCCATCTTGGCATAGTTTATCTCAATAGTGTTTACCTACAGCAAATAACAAATACAGTTCATTCATGCATTATCCACCCAAAACAACTGAAATAATAATAACTCTGTAGTGTAGTGTAGTAGCCCAACATCTCTACTCTCATCTTACCTTGTGAGGCTCAGGGACGAGACAGTCCTCTCCGTATGTAGAGATGTCACCTGTGTCCAGAGAGAAAGGGGTCGGTTGGTCTGTTTGGGATTCATCGGATCCTCCAAAGCCTTCAGCATCCTCACTGTCCCCTTCCTGTTCACAGAAAACACTAACTGTTAAAGAGACCATCTTCATGACTACCTATGACATTTAACAGTACTGTGTGGTGTACCTGAAGACCAGGACAGAAGTTGGCGGTGTCTTTGGCGTTGTTGTAATCATACTCTCCTATGTCCTCACCCAGCTCTCCCGATAATCTCTTCTTTCCTTCTGCACTGAGCTGGAGTAAGAAAATAATCATAGCCATATTTAAAAGATGAATAAAATGAACCAATCTGGCAGTCAATCTCCTGTGCAGCATTTTTCTAATGTTGTTTTAGATTTGCCACAACTGATATTCTGAAGTGTACACAGCAATGCAGACAGGAATATTAAACATTCATGAACTTACTGTGTTGGAGGGTTTGAGGCTGAGCTGTGACAGATTACTGGGTGGATATTGGAAGTCTGCTGGAAGCGTGGTTTTCTTATTGCTGCTGTTCAAAGCTGATTTACTAATAGTGGTAGTTGCCTGGAAATAACAAGCATATCATTGTCAGTTTGTCGCCAAGTAATCTGCTGCTTACTTTTAAAAGCTTTAACAGTTTTTGCTAGAGGGATTAAATAGCATTGTATGAATCGCTGTTATAAAGCTTTTGTCTATTAGGGAAGTCATGAAAATACATAATATGAGAATTAGCAAATGCAAACGTACTCTAGTTGTCCGAAAGTAATTATGAAAGTTGATATCTCCTTTAAAGTCAATTACGAGAGGATTCTTTGGTGCTCGCTTCCGAGGTTCTTTGTCTGGTTTGTGATCCTCTAGACAGGATAAATTAGAAATTGGGTCAAAAATGGCACAAAGAAAGCAAGAAATTAAGAAAGTGATAAAATCAACACTATGATTTATACACTCATAGGCTAATCTATGACTTACGCCTATGTCCAGGTTTGAAGAGCCAGTAACCAGGCCCAACCCAGGTGGCCATGGTCCTGGGACTGAAGTACGAATACTCTCTGGGCTGATCAGACAACTGCTGACACATGGTGGCAATATCCACCTTGCCAATAGGAATAACGCCTCTGTTAATAACAAAAATACACCTCAGTGAATAGACATGACATAAAACAGCACAGAGGAAATTCTGATGCAAATAAATGGGTTATTCTGAATAGTCAGAGATATAAAATACAACATGACAATGTAGCAGCTAAGGTCAGGTCAAGCTTAGGTTTGACAGTCTTCGGAATTATGTCTAAAATAACTGAAAATGTACAATATTGAGCCGCAACTATTCACTCATTGTGAACAGAGTGTGTAACAGTCTGTTTGCAATGCAAAAATTAGCAAACACTTTGGTGCAAAACATGTTGTAAGTACTAACCCTTTCTGAGGGCTCTTTGAATAAGTTTCTCTGTGTTCCTTAAACTCCTCACAGTCTCCCTGTCTGCCCTCTTCCACGTCTACATCAAAATTATCCCCAAAATCTGGACCCTCATCCTCATCTGGCTCAATGTCTGCATTGGCATCGAATGCATGCTCTCCCTGCTTCATCTTCTCAAGCAGCTGGTTGAGGTTTGTGGTCTATATTGACAATATGAAAGAGAGAATCACATCAATATAAAACACTTGATATCACACTTACACTACTTTAAGAATTTAATACTTTTTTTCAGCAAGGACGCATTAAATTGATCAAAAGTGAGAGTAAAGACATTCATAATGTTACAAAAAAAAAAAAAAGTCTCAGTATCAAAACAAAAAAAAAGATTCTAAAGGGTTTCACCTGCTCAGGAGTCCATCTAGTAAAGGAGAAATCCTTTAAGGATGGACAAATTGGCCTGTCCTCTAGTGACTTTAGATGACCTGGAAGAATCAAAAAGGCATGATTCCATTCACTCATGTTGTCAAACAACTCAGTGTGGTTGTAGCTCACAACACGTGCAGAAACATTTAGGCTATGAATACAGAATATTACTTAGTAAACCCAAAAGTAAACTGTCCCATGACTTTGAACAGAGTGTGATGTGCAAAGCTGATTTACCTATAAACGGTGAGGCAGGAACATGTTGATGGGGCACCTGCATAGGTGGCGGCTGTGACCTCAGCAAGGTCATATGTGAAGGAAAGCGCAGCTCACAGCGACTGTCTTCACTGAACAGCACGGAGAGGAACACTCCTGCTGTACTATTCTCATCGAAGGAAGCAGCCATGCGCTGGAACATGGGGTCAACCTGCACAAAGAATGTTTTAGGGATTCCTGTAGATTATGCCACCTTCAAAAATGCTTGGGGTCCTCACAACATAAAATTACTTAAGACATTAAAGAAACACACCCAAGAAAGTTACACTTTTCAGTATATGTTCAGTACAGGACTTCTCAACTACTTGATTGTTATCTACCTTCTTCTAACGCAAGAGTGGAAGTGGCCATTTGTAACCTGAATGTGCGAGGCATCCGCTTTTAGTTATTTTTAGCTGTACAAAACAGCAGGTTATGCTGCTCGATATTGCAAATTGGTATTTCTTATGTTATTTTAATGTACTCAAACACAATGGATTGTAGCGCAATTGTAGCTAGTGAATTACAAGTCTCAAACATTCACAGAAAACAGCTTACTTCCATGTTGCAAAATAAGGATATCGTCAAAAAAAAGTAAGCTTTATTATCGCCAAGTAATACATTAAGTTTGGTATATATTAGCTGAATAGTTTGATATATATATTATACCCAACTTTATCCGCATACATGCAGTAAAACAATATATACACTATATAGCAAATCTCAACTACCTGATTTTTATTTAGCTGCAAAATGTAACTACATTATCACCAAGCTTTTATATAAAGTTTGATACACACAAGTATGTCCAACTTTATTTGAATGCATACAGTATACTCACATTGGGCGATATTTACTATGCGGCACATCTCAACTATTTGATTGCTTGTAAACTATATTATCACCCAGCTCTAATGTGCCAAATGCAATTATGTGGTATATAAGATATTAAGATATCATAAACATTAATATCACAATTTTCTATAAAGCTGC